CATGTAAATGCTGTGAATTCGAGAGCTAAGAGCTAAATAATTGACTCTTGTTGGATAGTATCAATTTGTGGCACTTAATGGAGGCAAGTCAAGAATATTTGCACAAACGTGTGTCTTTGGAGGCACCCAAACCTGGATTGCAAGCCCAGGTTCCCAGAAATGTCGGGACAGAAGACAGCAGTTGAACAACACGTGAGCTGTGCTACGTGTGTAGCCCTTCCTGCTGTATGAACATAGGTAATAAATCGTCTGCTGTTACCAGTATTAGGCTTTTGTTGAAATACTTTCAAGATTTCTGCCCTGTGAGTGGGTCAGCGCATGGACGGGAGCGTTCTGTGCTGCAGCAAAACCCAGGCTCTTTGTAAAGCCCATGGTGAAGAGTCATCGTTTTCCTTTTGCTCCCTGGAAGGAGGATTCCAGGAGCCAGTGCCTGCTCTTACTGAGAGTGCCTTTGGGCCAGTGGTGCTTGAAGAGGTAAGGAGTTTGCTGGTTCACTTAAAGCTTTTTGTGATCTTTTATTCTCCTTGTATAAAATGGAACCTGATGCCATTGAACTGTTCTGCTCTTGTATTCACATCTAGAGTGCAAACAAACAGGAACATGCTGAGAGAAGATGCCTGTCAATGTGACGCTCAAGACAGCAAAGTGACTTATTAGCAAACATCTGGAAACGTGGTGAGAAATTAATTGCTTATTACAGTTTTGTAGTAGCAATGACATAGCTGAAATATGGTGAAGTCTTAGTTTTGTTTTTACGTTTTGACAAACTGCACTTTTTTTTTTTTCTCTTACAGATAGCGGGATCAGGTGAATAAAGCTGCTTCACGGCTCAGGAAAACCTTGCACTAGAGTAAACCTTTCATGCTGTTAACATTTGTTGTATCTTGTTGCCTTTTAATGTTTACTTCTTGCAAGGAAATATTGTCTTTTTTATGTATTTATATCTTTCTTGAAAATGAAGTCCCTGCAAGTTATATTTAGACTGGATTTGAAAATGTTTAGGCAGATCTAATCAAATAAATATTTCTTATGGTATCTTTCTCCTCTCTGACTTTGGGAACAGAGTTGGGAAAGGCTGGTGAGAGTAAAATACAACACGTTGCTGTTTTGAGCATTGGCTAGAGGAGTCACCTGTGTCCTGGAAGGTGTTGGGCACATTTGTGTGTTACTGTTTGGAATGATGCTGCTCTGAAACGATGCAGTAAATGGATGAGAGGTGCAGAAGAGCAGACGGGGAAGGCAGAGGCTGTTGCTGCGGGGTGGTTCTTCCCAGGTTTGTGTGTGCTGACGAGCTCCTCTTGGACTGCAGAGCCATCACCCGTGCGACTTGGAAGGGCAGTTTTAGCTCTTGTGGAACCTCTTGTGCAATGTTTAACGCTCTGAATAAAGATCGTGTTTACAGCGTGTCCCGGGGTGTCATGCGAAGTGGCCAGGTGCTGCGGGGACAATGTTCTCGTGCTGAAGCTGCTGCTTTCAGGCTTCCTTGCTGGAATTTTTATTACCAACTTGCCTTGCCCATCTCTGGCACACGCTCCCGAGTCCGGTTTTCTGCCAGAATCCTACTTTCTCTTTCAGAAGTGTTTGGATAGGATTTAAATAGTAAATACCTGTGTTTTCTAGTAGAAGGCAGGGAACAAAACTTCAGCCATTGCAGTCCTAAAGGAGCTGAGCCAAGTTTGCTTTACGAGTCTCCAGAGCATTTGGACAAGTCTCTCTGCTCTTCCCCTTCCAATCGTTTTGAGACTTTTTCTCTGAAATAACATGAAGCCAAAGCTGTTGAGTGTTCATCCCGACATCAGATGTCTTACTGGAAATCCGTTCATACTGCAGTTCTCCATGATGAAGTAGGTTTGAAGGAGTGGGTCTGGCACAGAAGAATTGGTTTTCTTATCTGTGTGTACTTTTCAGACATGGCGTATTGATTGGGTGGAGAGGAGTGAAGCTTTCCCGTTGTCGATGTATTAAATTGACTTGGATAATTGGACAAATCTCATGCATCTATTAAAAATAATAAGAAATTCCTATGATATGATTAGGCAAAGCTAACTTTATTTCTCAGAAGGTTTCTCAGGGGTTCTCTTCCACTGCTTTGTGTACCTGTCTCAGCCATTTGAAAAAGGATGTTCTCCTTTTAGCTTAAATGATTGCTTTCCTCTGAGATTAACCCCTAGGAAATTCCCTGTGAGAGCAGCAGTAAACCAGTATCAAAGGCAGTTAATGCTCTCCAACCTGTGGTGTTGTAATCTGAATTTCTTTCCTGGAGTGTGATGACAGAAGCAGCTGCTTTGGTGGCTGTTTGGTAGAATGGGGATGAGGCGCTGCCAGTGACTAAAATTACTGCAAACCCAAGCTATAAAGCTTGCCAGAAACCACTAAGATTTTCAGTCTATTTACTTCTACTGTCCTAATCCAGCTTTAAACATCTGTGTAATTACTGTGTTTGGCAATATACGTGATGTATGAGCACAGTTTGCTTGTGAGAACAAAAAAACAAGGCGCAGAATCTTTTTGTAATGGTGTTAGCTTTATGGATTCCATGTCATCTATGTATAATTCTGTATCAAATGATAAAAGTGCTTAACCCAGTCCAACATCTGTAACTGATGAGGAGTGTTAAGGAAGCGAATGGGTTTTGTGTGGGTTTTTACGTGTTGTTGAGCAACGCTGCAACCTTTGAACGTGGAGGTAGGTGGGTTCTCCTCCCTGTTCCAGTGGGGAAAGTAGAAATGGGAGAGGGAGTGCAAATGCTTAAGTTTAGATCACATCATATTAGTTTTAAGATAATTTTCAGTGTTTTAATTGAAGAGGCCGCCCTATACCCCCAGTCCTTGGATGTGTGAGATATTTGTGTACGGAATTTGAGTGGTGCCTTTGGGATTTCATCCTAATGCTGGTCAGGCTAAATGGACCGTCTCATGTTCTCCTGTGCCGTTCGTAAATACGTTTGCCATGAAAACAACCTTCACTGCAGTTCTTCTAACATGGGATCTGGAGGGGACAATTGTGCCGTTCATGCGGCCGGCAGCCTTGCAGCGGGACACGCTGAGCAGCTTGTGGCACACGTTGGTGCTTGCACAGACCTGCAGCAACGTCACCTCCCTGGGGACGCTGCTTGTTTGCTCCCTGTTACTGCCCTGCGCAGGAAAGCGAAGGGCCGTGATCTTTATGCAGGTTGTGGGGAGATGTCCCAAGTAGAAGAGAGCATCCACCCTTGAGAGAGGAGGGAAAAGCTGGCACAGCTGCTTATGGCCGCTTGACTCAATTAATAAATGAATGTTAATTAATATCAATTGCAGTAATCCTATCATAAAAATTAGTGATTTAATGCTCAGGAGAGAGCTGAAGGGGAAGTCTGTAGGTTACCTACAGATTGGGTCTTGTAGGAGGCTGATTTCTTCTTACAACATTCCTTACAGGGTCTCTGTAGCCCGTTGCCACCGCGGGTGTCTGTGGCCTCCCTGGCAGTTGACACCTCCTCTGTGGCCGTCTCTTCTGGAGCCGCATTGGGCTCCCCTTGGGTGTAGTCAGAACGATGGCAGCTGCTGTGAGAAGGAAAGAAATTGGAGTTGTTTCTTACCTGGATGATTGGTTCATTCGGGAAATGCCTGAGAGATTCAAGCCACAGCCTGAACTTTATCAGCAAAAGCAATTTCTCTCGCTGGCTATTTCCATTGCCTGAAGTAGTAGTCAATAGACGAGAACTTATTGTACCCTGTTTAGGAGAACCGTGTGGGACTGGGGGAAGGAATTTCAAATGCGCAGGCTCACCTTCTAGCTTCTCAGATGACCTACTGGAAAATCAGAAGGGTCTTTAACGTGTTTCAGACGCTCGGTGTGCTGAGGACTCCACCGTTCCGGCTGGGCAGTAACGCATCATTCCGCACCGTGCAGTTACTCCCAGCTGCAGGTAGCGTTTCCTGGGAAGCTAGGAATTACTCGGGGAGTTTGGTGGTTACGGCAGCCTCTTTCTTGGCTGAGGAAGGGTCGTGTTGTGCGGGCTCCCGTGGTGGATTCCCCCAGGCTGCCCTCGGCGTTTTTGGGGGAAGCGACCTGTAAGGCTCCTGGCTCGTGGGTCTGCACTGGAACACAGTGCAAATCGTTCACTTGTCGAGGTCCTTGTAATAGATGAAGTCATTATACCTGCCGAGCTCTCATTGAAGGAAAGGAGTGCATTTGGTGTTAAGAGTATTGACTAAATGGTCAGGGAGTTAAAAACACAGGATTGCGTCTGTCCTTCCCGTTTCCCAGCAAGAAACAACGCATGAAGGAGCTGAGCTATAAAGTCCACTTTGGTGTGTTCCCTTATTCAGAAGGCAAACACGAAGGGTATCGCTTGGTGCGTGGAGTAGTGCCTTTAGCTGACGTGCTAGTAAATATTGTGTGGGTTTCCTTCCAATCATGCACTCCTGTAACCTGTGGATTCCAGGCGGTCCCTTACTGGGAAGGACTGCAGAGGAGGAGGCTTCCCAGCTCCGTGGAGGTGATGGGCAGCATTTTCTGCACCCTGCCACCTTTGCACCCCCCAGAGTAGCCACTCGTTGACTATTCTTTGTGTTAAGAGCTGCAGACTTCTGGGGACCTTTCCCCATAGACTGTGACCCTGCTGCTTGCTCCGTTCTTGGTCTCGCGTTGCGCCTGCTCTCGTCCTGCTCCACAAGTGATTGGGTTTCTGTAGTGGACAAAAGAATTCCTGAGTGTATTTCTCAAGGAAGTTACGAGATCTTTCTGTGGATGGTGATAGCTTCCAAAGTCTATGTAAAGTGTTTGAACATTTCATTTGTGCAAGTGCTTTAAAGGACTGTTCTGTGTTTCACAGTCCTGTGTATTTCATACTGAGTCACATAAGGGTGTGTTTTTTTGTTTCTATTTGTGGGTAGATGTGAGTAGTCTTTCAGCTTGAGAAATTGAAACAATTGCTGATATTAACATGGGCTTTTTTTTTTTCCCTCTCTCTTTTTTTCCTCTTTACTGCCCTCACTCTTCAAGAGCCATACTAAAACGCTGGGGTTGTTGGAGTGGTTGAATTTTTCCTGGATTTGAGTGAGAAATTCAGAAGACTGAAGCCCAGGCTCACTGTCTACCTTTCACGGAGGCCCAGCCGTGAGAGGACAGAAGAAGGCACGTGGCGAATCATGACAGCAGACAAAGAGAAAGACAAAGACAAGGAGAAGGATAGGGACAGGGACCGGGACAAGGAGCGAGACAAGAGAGACAAAGCGAGGGAGAGCGAAAACTCGCGCCCTCGGCGGAGCTGTACCTTGGAAGGAGGCGCCAAGAACTACGCGGAGAGTGACCACAGCGAAGACGAGGACAATGACAACAACAGCGCCACCACGGAGGAGTCCACGAAGAAAAATAAAAAGAAACCGCCCAAGAAGAAGTCCCGATACGAGAGAACAGACAATGGTGAAATAACGTCGTTTATCACAGAAGATGATGTTGTGTACAGGCCCGGAGGTAAGAAACCCCTCTGCTGTGTTTCCTTTGCAGGTAGCTGTACCCCTGAGCTACCCGCTAGCTGGCTGCAGCCAGCAATGACCTAGCTGTTAATTTAGATGATGATTTAGATGACTCATTTTTGATGATTAATTTACATGATGCTTTTCTTGTGGGTGGGTTTCCACAATTCCTTTGAGGACAAGGTGAACGTGCATGCAAAGCTTGGACTGCACATTGTCATTTCTTTGTGTTTGTTGGAATTAACTTAGATTCTCCTTTAAAAAAGAGCCACCCCTTTTGTTTGCACTGTGTTCATTAACTGTGAAGCGTGGGGGGATCTGTGTCCGTGAGGTTTTCAAGATGAACCTGGACAAGGTGCAGAGCAACTTGGTCAGTCTGACTTGGAAACTGCGCCTGCGTTGGGCTAGAGAGCGCGTGCAAGTCTCTTCCAACTTTCCTGATATGTCTGTGAATCTGATTTCTTTGTAGACCTTATCTCCTGTTTTTAACAGCGCAAAGGTGACTTATGGCTACTATGCCATTAATGTCTTTTTTATTTTTCTTGTTAATAGCCAGCTGATCACTTAATGTCTGTGCACTGCAGTTTAGCTCTTGGTCAAAGCCAGCAATGTTAACACAACTTCTCATTAGCAGTGAAGGTGGCATGTGGCTGGGTGCTTTGGGGGCAGAGTAGGGTCTCTGGGGCCACTTAATTCTTGCAAGGTTTCCCTGAGGTATTTCAGGGTCTCGTTGAAGATTTCAAGGTCTAACGGGTCATATTCTGCCTGCCAACTTGCTTCCTTCCTCAGGATGAAGTTGTACTTGAGAATCGCAGGGATTATCCCATTGACGGTGTTCCTTGTTTCTGAATAAGAACCTACATTTACACAGTCTTTAGAAGGGCTGGCAGCAATCGTTTGTTGCACCACAAGATAGAGTTTTCTTTGGCTTTAGTTATCAAAGCACTGGCTTAGGGGCCCTGGTATTTTTATATAGCATTTTCTGTGAAATGATCAGTGTGCTATAGAAACGCTGCTGGAGCAAAACAAAGATGCATCCAAATAAAATCCATGGAAACTAGCAGTGGAAAAACTTGTCTTGTTTCCTATGAAGCGTTGCATTTTTTAAGTGCTAAAATTTCATTGTGCAGATGCAGATGTAAAAGAGCTCAATGGGCTTGTTGCCACCTCCAGGTGTTGCAACTAGAAATGCTTTAAAAGTGCTCATTGTGTGTGCCTATGTGGACACCATTGGCTCCAGATTCAGGTTGGCGGTACAGCTCTAGACTGGGCTAAAATAATACTGATTTTAGAGGTACATTTTTCCTTCTTGGTTCTGTGCAGCAGTTGCAGGATATTTTTTTCGTACAGATCTATCAGCTTGTGTTAGAGAGGACATAATGTCATTTCAAGCACTGGAAATTTCACGCCGTTCCCAAGCCCGGGTTTCCTCGTGCTCAGACTCGCAGTGAGTAATAGGGAACGGGCTGGCGGAGGGTCAGCTCTGGGGCAGCCTCATTTTCGGTGTCAGAGGATGAAAAACACGTCGAGTATGTTGAGAACAGCTGTTGTGTGGGCCCGGTGGTACGCCGTGATACTGCGGCGTTCGGCACGGAGAGGCTTGGCTTCAGATCAGGGTGGATGATGATTTCTGTGCTCTCGTTGCTTCTGTCGTAGCTGGAGAAGTCGCCCGCTCGGCCCAGCTGCTGCAGCGCGCGGAGGAGCGCTCGTGTATTTGGGTGCACTGCAGAGCATCAGGAATTGGTGCTATATTTATGTTGTGCTTTGGTCAAGTGATGAACTTTCAATAACCAAAAAAAAAAAAACCACCCCAGCTTTGTGGTTACACGTGCTGTAAGTCCTTAGGGAAAAGCAGCTGCTATTAAGTGGAGCCAGCCCTTGCTATATCCCGGTTAGATTTATTGCTTTGTAATCTAGAGCAGGGCAGTTCTTCTGACTCGCATACCCCCCAAAAATCATTATCTTGGCAAAAAAAAAAAAGAAACTAAGTCACGAAAAGGATCTAAATATGTGGGAGGGAAGCTTTTATGCCCAGTTTTCACCCTTTCTGCCCGAGAATCAGCAGGAGAGAACCTTAAAAGACGTCAGGGCAGGATGGGCCACGTTGTAGTGCATAGTGTATTCCAAAAGTTTTCTAGCATCTATTGCAAAATAAATTTTACTTCATTTAACAGCTAGGTTCGATGCAGGGAGATGTAGCTGTAGGGTAGGGTATGCATTACATAAAGTTTAAGAGGGATTAAGAGAGTTTAAATTAATGAAACTTGCACAGCAAGGATTTAGAAAGATGAAAGCTAAAGGTGTGTTCAAAATGGATAGCTATCTTCAGCTTACATCTTTCAGGCTTCAAGGAAAGGAAATCCTTTTCATTTGTTTGATTCCATCCCTTAAAGATTTTTGTCTGATAAAATACGGATTTGGACAATTATCTGGACAAATGTTAGAAGTCCGTAGGTCTCTCTTTAACTATAAAATCCTTGGCCAAAATCTGTCTGTCACATGTGCTGTTCAGCACTTAGTCCAGCTCTTGATCTTCCTTGTGCTAAGCTGAATAACTACATGTGAGTAATGGTAAATAAATCAATAATGAAGATCCTTGGAAAATTTTCAGAATAAAGGCTCCAGCATATTGTAACCGTGCGCATACTGCTTTTAATTTCCATGGATATAATGAATGTAACCATAGTTTCAAGCACAACGTCTATTCAGCTTTGTTTATAGTCATCTTTATGGTGGTTTATTTACTGTGTAAGGTTTCATCAAGACTGTTTTCCCCCTTTTCTATTCTGCTAATTGTTTTCTGCTGAACTTCCATTTCCAGTGCAGATGGACACCCTTCTACCCGGCAGGTTCCTGCCAAGCTCCCGCACCGTTTGCATAGGGTTGACTTCATATGGTTTGTGCCCATACGTGCCGTGCTTGCCACATGGCTCCTGCTCGTGTGGGTGTTTTCCCAGGCTCTCCGGTTGTGTTTGTGTTTTGCAGGGTCTTTTTGCCATTCGATTATTTGACTGGCAGACTGTAAGTAAATCGAATAGCTCGATATTGTGCTGCGCAAGCCAGGCCTTCCAACAACATCTGTTGTTTGGGTGAGGTGGTCGGGCTCGAGGATTTGCTGGAGCTCCATGGAGTGCACGAGGCAGCTGTCAGCGAGGGGACCCTTCCAAGAGCTCGGCTGCTCCCGGCTCCTGAGCCATGCGGGACATCCTGCACAGGCCCTCTCGGGAGAAATGATTGGGGCACTGACCTTTCTGCCTGGAAAAAGGAGCTCTGTGATGGAAAACTAAATGCACTGTCTGCAGCTTTCATGGAGATGTCCAAGGACTGGCAGAGGAAGGTGGGAATTGTGGTATTCCCGAAAACCTCGTGCCTCCCTGTTCTAGAGGGCAGCAGCAGACTTAAAGCCTTAGAAGAGGCTGAGGTGTGGAGACGTTTTCCTTGTTTATCTTCAGCTGCTCCTTCAGCATGGCAATTTTCAGTATCCAATATATTGGTTTCATGCAGTTTATGGAGTTACCCCTTTTATGAAGTGAAGGAGTTAACAGTCTTGAAAATTGACATAACAGGAATGCGCGTATGGAAGTAGCAGATGATTCTGGGGATCCTTCCGTTCTCCCCTTCCTTTTTGCTCCCCCAGTTCTGGCCTTCCTTTAATGCTGCAAGAAGCTGCACGATCCCTGCCTTCCCCCAGCCTGTACAGCAAGCCAGGAAGGAGTGTTACAAAAGCCCAGAACTTAATATTATTGCTGCTGAGAGGACTGTAACGGCTCAGCGATGACACTGGCAATGCTGGCCTGGAACAGTACGGTTGGATGAAAGTCTAAGTTGATTTGGAGCCCCAGGAAAACGGATGACTTGATATGTCATCTGGAAATGAGGACAGTGTTGTTTGCTCTGTCTATGTAGAAACATTTAAAAGGATCTGCCGGGATTAGAAGGATTTAGGAGGATCTGTTTCTACAGTGACATCAGTAGATACATAAACAGCAAATCAGCAAGAGGCATTAGCAGGAGGTAACGGAAGGTAAAGCGCTTCTCCGGGAGAACGGGGATGCCGAGCCCGGGATGCGGGAAGAGCCCGTCCTGCAGCTCCCTGCTGGGCAGGACGGCGAAGGGGACCCCCTGGGCCGTGTCCCTGCCGTGCCGGTGCCGTGAGGGACCGCAGCGTTTTGCTCCGGGGCCATCCAGTGCCACGTGCACGGGCCGACCCTGTTGAGGCAGGGGCTGCAGGGTGCAGCGGGAGGCCGGGGGATGCAGCTTGCAGCGCAGCCCTTCTGGAGCAGGGTTCGGAATTCATTCGGCCGAGGTTGTTCAAATGCTTGCAGAAGCCGGGAGGTTTTTATTTACACAGCTCTTGAGAGAGGGCACCGTGTCAGCCTCCGAGTGTTATGAGCAGGGAAAGCTGCTTAATGAGCCTGGGAGCAGGTTGTTTTTGCAGAATCTCAATTTGGAGAATTCCTGGGTCCTTTTTTTCTTTTTCCCCCCCATTTGGTATGTTTTTTGGAAGTTCCTTCTAAACACTGACCATTCTCCATAATTTGATATAAGACCAAAAGTGACCTTGAAGCTAAGGACATTAAAATATTTCCTCCTGCCTGCCTTGGCTGGTGCTTGTTTTATAATAATCCTCTTAAATATCATTGTACATTTGAAAATGCAGCGTGGAGGTGATTCTCCAAGGCTCGAGGCCTGCCCTTGTTTGGGATAGATCCTCCAAGCTCCTTAGGCTGTTAAGGAAGATCTCTGGGTACTTCTAGGTAGGTTGGGACAAGTTCTAGGACTCGTGGGTTTGCTGCCAACTTTGTCCTCTCGCTGCAGTGACCCTGTTGTTTCGTACTGCACGTGCTGCCAAAGAGGAGGGAGGCTTTGGCACTGAGGGCTTCTTTCCTTCCAACAATACATATTTAAGCAAAGGGGGTGCAACACTCAGCTGCTAGAAGTTCTGTAATTTTCTATTAGTTGGCCCAAATAATAGTTAAAGGTTCCCCTTTTCCTAAC